CCTGGCACTGTGGGGACAGAGAGCTCCCCTGCCCTGGCGCTGCTCAGCTCCCGGCTCCTGGGGAACTGCAAATTGCTCCCAGTCAGCATCAACATGTGTGCTACTGTGCAGTAGCTAATGCACGATTAATCTAGTACCTGTATTTCTTGGTACTAGCAAACCGCTCGTTAGCCTAATTTACTGTGCAGCAAGTCCCACACATGTGTAGACAGTGATGCTCTACTGTGCATTAGTCTAATGGGGGCTGGACTTGATTATCTTTGAGGTCCCTTCCCTAACATCTATGAAATCTATGAAATCTCATGTAGACACACCCTGTAAACTTTAAACAGAACAAAAAGGAACATTATATTGTCTTGAGAACCATTGCTTGAGTTACAAGAGGCTTTTAACCACTAACTTAAAGCAGTTTAAAGCTATACATTTTAATTTAATGAGTGCAGACTGATCATGATAAATGTTCTCTAAAAAATATCAAAATTAAGAGTTGCCATTCCTATAAGTCAAATGAGCATTTCACTACTAAAAGAGCAAAAATCCATTCCATATGACATGAGTTTTGGTAGAATTTTCTCTGAGGCCATAATTTTGTACTAAGCGCAGAGCTATAAGGGAAAGTTATACTGTCAGTTTTCCTTGGCAGAAATTTCTATTTACTTTTGCAAATAATTTAAGGAGAGAACAATACAATTTTCCTTAAAATCTCCAACCTGTCACTTTTGCTTCAGGGGGAAAATAGTAATGCTAGGCACTTATATCCATTATCTTGCACTTAGCATAGCACTTGAGTTTGAAGATGAATCAAAAAACAATCTCAATCTATAAAGCAGTGGTGGCCATACCACCATCATTTTTCTGACACTTGCTGACAACAGACATATGGAGGTAAACTTCTTGCAAATCTAAAACATTTGGTACATATTTGGTAAGACTGGTCCACCAAATGTAAACTGATAAAAAGAAAATACTTTAAAAATAAGACTCATAACTGGTAACAACTAACAACTTAAAACCAATTAAAACAGAACAAGAGAGAAGCTCAGTCACGACAGTTTCTAAAGTTTTTTTTCCTATAGAATATTTTACAAGTACAAAGAAAGTGAAATTACAAGAAAAATTTTCCAAAACAACTGTAGATAGTCACAGCCAGAATCTTTGAAAAATCAGGCTACAGAGGCCTACAGTAAATAATATTTAGATTTCATTCCTCCAAGAAGCTGAGAAAATATACTACTGGCTTTATCATAATGTCAATGACATTTTCTCTTGAAGATTAACAAAAAGGAGCCCCCATATTTTATTTTGTAGTACATGAGAAATACAGAAAAGATTAAATTCAACATCTAGAAAATATTATCACTAATTGGATCTTTGTTTTATTTTGAAAGATCTCAGTTATGGAACTGGTCATTCTCAGAGAAAGATTACCAAATGAGCACAATGTTATTTGACAAGGACAAGCTTATAACATGTGTAGGATTACTAAAACTACACCATGCAATCCAGATCTTAAAGTATATGTCACTGTTGTCTTTGTAAATACAAAAGATTTTAGATACCATTTAACACTGAAGTTAAAACCTTTTGGAATGTTGGACAATGTGAAACTTCAGAGAAGCTTGTCAGCAAAATGGAAGAGATTAACCAGAAAGTGCTATGGTAACATTCATAATGATCTAACTCTTCTGAAGGATAAGTACTTTCTTTATAAGGAAAATTAATCTTTTTTTTAAAATTCAAACAGTGTGCTAATATTGACAAAAACTTCCAGTGGTTAGAGTGGTAACCCGAGAAAAGGTTCAATTTTCTCCTTTACAGCAGACTTCCTGACACTTAAGGCCACATCCAAATCATTCTCATCAGTGTTTAAATGGAACTTAGGATTTATACATCTAAGTCACAAAAGGAATCGCGATCAACCCTGTTTTGGTGGCCACAATACTTCTTAGGTACCTAGAACCATAAAAGGCCGTAATTCTTGAGTGAAAATTCCCTTGGTCAGAAGCAATTTGAATCCACCACCTAGACTGCTATTCCAACCTACACACTTTGCAATCCATATTGCTGCCAGAAAGAATTTAGTATCTGTGTAAGTTCCCAGAGCAGGACATACCTAACTTCTGACAAACACCAGTGGCACCAACTTCAGTGCAAACTACAGAGCCATTGGCTACCTCAAACATGACTTGCGGTAGTGGAGGTACCCACCTTTTGCACCATAGCCCAGTGGTTAGCAATTTCACTCAGGATGTAGGAAACTTGGGTTCCAGAGTCAATGACATTTTCCCATTTCTCAGGAGTCCTGTTCCCACTACGTTATGATTTAGGCTAGATGGGGGCATTTTACACCTCTCCCTGTTGAAGCTGGGTTACTGGACAATCAAGAATGCAAGAGCCATGAGTCTAGAAGGAAGGCAAACAAGAATAGGCTTGACTGACCTAAGAGTGAGGGCACTGCCCTAGGAGGGGGAGTCCTGGGTTCAAGTTCTGACCACAGTGTTAGTTGTATTACTTAACCAACTATAACTAATGTCAAATCCAAAAACATGCCCCCAAAAATGGACAAGGACCCAGGAGTACATCCTTCTATCTAGGCTACTAACTTTTTTACCCCTCTTATTGTCTTTCTGGCCTCATAAAACTTGGTGGCAGCAGGAGGGATGGAGATAACTTCTGCCAGATTATCCTGGAGCCTGGGGATTATGGTATTCTCATGGGAACTGGGACATGTGAGTTTGAGTTCCCTCATGCTGAGAATGGCCAATAACCTAAATTTCCCATTTCTTAAGTAAGAGCTCTAGCCACTAAGCTGTTATATAAAAGGTGGGCCCTGGCACCAGCACCACCAATATCAAGCATGTTTAGAATGGCTTTGCATGCTGTGCTTGGAACTGAACTGAATGCCACTGCTATAGTATACATTACATACCTCTCCTTCTGAGTGCTCTGGATCACAAGATAATGGAAGTGCTTAATATGCAGACCTAAGTTCCAAGGAAGGTGGAAATTCAGTCTCACCTTAAAGCCTATTACTTTTACTAGCTAACTGTAGGCACCACCCTGCTCAGCATGTAAGCACGCTGGTTTCCCAGTAGAGGTACCTAATTCGATCCATGATCTCCATAGGGACCCTAAGTGCCTAATTTGATTTGGATTGCTCTCTCAAGGGAAGACATCTCACTGGAGGTAACTATGAGAAAACTATTCAGATTTAGCCCTCAATTTCTTTCCCAGTTCTCCATCTGTAAAACAGGAATTTAGTACTTCCTTACCTCCAGGAATGCATGAATTTTGTGAAAAATATTAACACTGTACAAGGATTTCTGACCAGCTTAGTCAGGGGGGGTGGTGGTGGCCCTTTTTAAAAAAAACGGAATTTCTGATTAAAATGTTTGTGGAACTTTTGAACACCTGCTTGCAGGTTTTTTGTTTTTGTTTTTTGACCAGTTCTACTCTTGTGTCTTCCTCTTTATTTGGAATGTGCCTAATGTCTTCCTACTATTGGCTGCAACTTATCACAGTGCCAGATCCGTAGATGTGGGACCAGATCACTGGTAACCACAGGAGATTCTAGGGGATGACATTTCTGCAATGGAATTCTTTCCCACCTGTTTGGTTGAGCTCTTGCAGTTCTAAGGTAGCATCTTTGAACCGAAAAGATTATCAATGGTCTGTATGGATCTTGAAGGATTCATGAGAGGCCAAGACAATTCTGATGCAGAAACTGGTTTTAGCCCCATTAGATCATGTGTGGCTCCATGCTATAACTCAGTTCCACTGGAGCCAGCTATAACTCCATAGGCATAATCCTCCTTTTCTATTGAATTCGGCTAGACAGTATATGCAATACAGATTCAATGTTTATGGCGTATCTGTTAGTTTTCTATCTTATATAGAAACGAAGAGGTCAGCACAGAGTGTCACCTCTATGCTTGGTTCTTTGTTCATGTACGTGAGAGAGAGACAGTCAAGACAGAAACAGAGAGACAGAGAATCCAGAGGAGAAATCTTGTCTGTTGTCATCTGTTGTATTGTTGGTGTAATTTAGTTTCTGTTATCAAGTTGAGGGGAAGAGGAGTCTTGGGCTGGGAACCGTTTTGATCATCACTTCAGTTACAGAAGGGGTCCAAAACCAGATTTTAAAACATGCAAAAATACATGCAAGAATCATAGTTCACATTTCTAGAAAGACCATTAGTTTA